CTTTTGTTCCTGTCACAGGTAAGAAGGACGTTCCTCCCTCTGCAGTCACCAGGCCCATCTGTGGCATCATGGGAACCATCCGGCTGGTAGCAGGTATGTAGCACACACGTCACCGTGTCCCAGCTGCTCTTTCAGCTGCGCACTGAAACACGTCTGCTTCCACCGCAGGCATGTACCTCGTGGTCATCACCAGGAAGAGAAACGTCGGCAGCCTTCTGGGCCACGCCGTGTGGAAGGCTGCGGACTTTGACGTGATCTCTTATAAGAAGACGGTGCTGCACCTGTCTGAGATACAGGTCAGTAAGAGCGGGTCACTGATCCCCAAGGAAATGCAGACGTGCTGTGGTAAATTAAAAAGCATACGTCGTACGCTCGTGTGCAGCAAACATCCTGCATGTTCTGTGTTTTTCTCCTGTGTGTGCCCACTGAGTGAGATTAATCCACGCACACGGCTGGTGACGCAGCCCGTGCTGCTGTAGTCTGCTCATTTTAATAGGACACCTTGAAACAACACCAATAAACTTTGTGAGTCAGTGTAGAAACAGGGACAGACGCTGGTGAGCCAGTAACTCTGTTTCAGTGAGTAGTTTTGCTCTGACATCAGCTCAGCTGTGATGCAGCGATTCAGGAAAACTGGCGGCGCCCCAAACGATTCGATGACCTGTAAGACAGACAGACATGCTGCTGTTTTAAAAACAGAGCTGAAATGTCCTGATGTTTGCTGGTGAATCCCTAACACTGTAAATTTGTGACATGCAGCAGTGACCTGTCGTGAGTTTTCCATCTAAACGTGTCTCTCCTCGTCTAGTCTCAGGAGAATAAGACCTTCCTCTCGATGCTGAACAACGTGCTGACCACGGACGGCTTCTACTTCTGCACCGACTTCGACCTGACGCACACGCTGCAGCGGCTCGCCAACACCAGCCCCGACTTCCAGGAGATGAGTCTGCTTGAGAGGGTGAAACATGTCGTCTTAATAGCTGTTAGCAGCCGATGCACTCGGTGTAGCACAGACAGGTGACTGTGAACGGGTCTGGTGGACAATAAAGTCTGTTATGGTTGATAAGAGAGGTAACAGACACTGACAGCAGGGTAGCTTCAAGCTGAGACACAGATGTGACGCTCTGAGGGAGCAGGTGAGGTGGAGATGAGCGTGACGGAGTGAG